TGAGCTACTTGTCATCCTGTAGTATGTGTTTGGAGACCTCAGTGGCAAGTTGAGATGACATTGTTAACCTTAAGTTCTTCTTGATGCCTTGATGAAGAAACTGTGGGACACCAACAGTGCTGTACAGCAGATGGCAGTGAGAGGTCTGGGGAGTGTGGTCAGTGGAGCACCTGAGAAGGTGAAACTGACTTTCTTCTGCTGCCCCCAGGTGAGAAGATGCTGGTGAAAGGCTGTGCATGACTGAAAAGAGACTGAGCAGATTCAGAAAAATAAATGCTGTTTTTTGCTAAAATCCGGTCTCTGAAATCAGTGCAGATACAGAGGAAAAATGCACACACAAAAAATGGATTCTTGGCCCAATATCTGTTCTGGAATCGTTTCTAAAAAACATTAACCCTTGGAAGAAATGGTAAAAAAAAAAAAAAAAAAAAAAGGGAGAGACATGAACAGTGAGAAGCTCTTGAGTGACCTACACTTCATCACTGAGAAAGCACAAGGAAGCTGCTTCTCACAAAGGACATGAAGGATGTTGTTTCTTCAGAGATTACCAGTGACAGCATATTGGCACCAGCTAAAGAGGGTTCAGGAGGTGGGATCCACCTTCAGAGATAATGTCAAGTTCACCAACATGTTTTCTTGATGCTGTAAATGAACAGTATTGTGAACCCTGTTCTAGCACTCTTGCCAGAGGATGCTCAGCAATGTCAGGAGCAGCTGGTTGGCCACACTGTGATCTTACTGCAGATCCTGCAGAGAAGGCCAGGTCAAAATTTGTGAGGAAAAAAAAAAATCAGTTGCTAAAACTTAGCTCTTTGTTTTGTTTTGTTGTTATCTAAAGGCCAAGGCTAGCAGCTGTCTCTTAGCAGACTGCTGTGGTGCTGCTCCCTCTCCCAGTTTTTCTACAGGGAGCACACAGCTCTCTTTGCAGTGACCTGCAATCACCTTCAGTACTTCTCCTAGTGCTTTCACTTGGAGAAGGTCAGTACAGTCCCAGTTATTGGGCATATCTGTCCCTGGGCTCCCCATGTGCTGGGTGTGCACCGGTCTGATTCTTGCAGCTGTGACAGTCTCTGGTGCAAAAGGTACTTTTCAGCATGGAAAAATTAGCAGACATTGTCTTCGATCTCCAGTATTTCTTAACATTTATTAATATTTAAACAATGATATTTATATTTATAGAAGTGATTTATGGCCTTGTAAATGGAACATTTTGCTGTAATGGACAGAAGGTGAGCTTTTAGCATTTTCTAAAAGGAAGAAAAGGGCCAAGTGAGACAGCACATGTAAAAGAAGAGAGAGAAGGAACTCAAGGGTGCTCCTGCACAATTACGTACTTCTGCCAGCTCCACTGGCACAGCCAAGAGCTCTTCTCAAGGAGAAATTTGGCCATAAGCAGGAGACTAGGGACATGAGTTGTCCTTCTACAAACAGGGCTGCTTTCACCACAGATAAAATGAACCAGATTTTTCACTGCCCCATGCCAATATGCGTGTTCCCACTCGACTCTTTCCAGACACATTCTCGAGTGTGAGTGCATTGCTGGTGCTCTCTGTACTGGGAGGGCTGAACTCCCGTCTGAGGCTGAGTGATCCTTACTCTGCAGTGCTAATGCAGCCTCATCACTGTGCTGACAGAAGACCTTCATGAGAAAGCGACCACAGAAATCCAGTAGGAAGCTTACTGCTCTCCAGCAAAACTTTCCTGCTCAGGCTCCTAGCCCATATAAATTCAAACGTGGAATAAACACTGTGCAGTAACCCCAGCTACCTCCACTACAGAGTAGTTAAGAATCACGGCAGCTCCCCACAGTGTTAAATGGACAAAACAGTCACCATTGCTGTACTGGGGAATTTAACATGACCCAGACTAAGCTAATGCACAATGCTGCCTCCTACAGCACCCAGGGGTTCTCCTCTCTATAGGAACAGGGAAACTCCCAATAACTGGAAACATCAAGGCATCAACATCGTGGCATCAAGGCTGTTTGAGCAATGACGAGTCTGCCATGAGCATACCTGCTTTAGTCAGCCGTGTGGAGAAGACTGTTGGCAGCTAGAACCCAGCTAACTGTGACACTTTCGGTGCCAGCAGCAAAAGTCAGGTTTCTACAGGCTAAAACATGTTATAAGTTAATGTCACAGAGATCTCTGACAGCTGGCAGACAGAGGAGAGTGCCTGTCTCTACCTCCTGCCTTCCTTATTGCTGTGCCTGCCCCTGTTCCCACCTCCCAGCAGTGCTCGCAAGGCATCGCTTTCCGCTTGTCTTCCCTTGCAGCTGGTAACCAGACAGCTTTGGGTGAAGCATTTCCAACTGCTGACCTGTGTTCCCAAGCTCTAACATCAGTCTGTCTCAACACTGGTTTTAAAACCAAGGTACGGAAACGTTTTGTCCGAGTCTACCCAGCTTTGGAGGCATAGACAGATAAACAGTATTCACACAAATGTTTCACTACAGTTTTGCTCACAGATGTGTGAGCAAGGTTTCTTGGGTGCTTCCCCATGCCAACAGGCACCCATCTTTTTGCTTACGCTCTTTAACAGTTTATGGGAACTGTTGATCACAGCCCGAACCTCTGATTGACCACCTGAGGCAAGCAATGAGTCAGCCACAGGAGCACAGGTAAAGGCAATTCACCTGTATGAGAGGAAGAGGTGGAGCCCGACTCCCACTTAAGTGCTGACTGCTACTGAGGAAGGCTTTCTTTCTGGAGATCACTCCTTGTGGAGTTTATTGTGAGCCTCCAACACCGGTGAGCATTTTTCGTTTATTATCTTTCCACTGCAATAATCCTACTTAGCCTAACCTCTATACACCTACTGATTGTACAACTGGCAAATGTAGTGTCCCAGCAGGAACCAGCAGCTGGAGCTGCAGGAATGGCTGGCTGGGGGCAGTGGTTGGGGCCCTTCTAGTTGGGAAGTATTTGGTCATCTGCAGGTGCCACAAGGGCCCCAATGGTGCTCCAGCAATGCTGGATGTTTTACATGGGGTTACCCCCAGAGACAGCCTTCAGGCTTGTGGTGACACCTCAGCAGCTGGTGGTTACCTCACTGCAGGTGTCCAAACTGGTCTGACAGAAACCAAGCTGCTGCTGGTTAAGTGTCACCACCATCACAAGGGCCAGGTCCCACCAAGGCCTAGCAGCCAAAACCTGTAGGCATGGGCACCTGCCCAGCCCCTTACAGCCAGCAGGCCACCAGCCTGATGGGAGGACAGCACAGAAAGCCACCTCTTAACTGATGGATGCTTCCCACAGGGCTCAGGTTGCTGATACACCACCACCAAAAAACTAAAACAAAAAAACACTGGAGAGGCCAGGGATGGTGGCTGGTCCTGGTGAGCATGGCGCTGATGGGCTGCCTGGCCTGGGGACTGCACAGGGGAAATGTGGTCCTTGTCCCTTGCTGTGAGTGCTGAAGGGAAGTACCTGAGCACAGCTGCAGACTGATGTTCATGGGTGCTTGTGCTCATCCCTCTAACTATCCTAGTCTTTCTGGTCAGCATGTCTGCAGCCAAAGGCCACGTTGGTGACACACCTGTCAGAATAAGTCCCTGCTCTAGTTAGGAGTAAAGTCCCTTCACTGTCCTGCATATCAGTGTTTGAGTCAGGACTTTGGAAACCTAACAGCTTTGCCCTAATCCTAAGGGATGGCTTTCTATAGGCATCTCCTCGCTCCCAGCTCCCTGACTTTCACCCTGAAAAATGCACAACCCTTTGACTCACTGGAAGAGCACTTATTCCTCTTCACATTCCTCTCACTCCAGGAGGAGCATAGAGAAAATCTGCTCATCTCCTCCTACCCCTCCCCGCCTTCCTGATCCCTGGTGGTGGATCCAACATATTCCTGGGCTGGGTACACCAGGCAGCTTGCACATGTGATGCCCAGCTGGCTTTCTACATGCTAGGACCTGCTCTACCTGCAAGCCATGGCAGTACTGTTGAAAAGCCTCCTGGCAGGGAACTGCAAGCATCAGAGCCTATTTTAGCAACTTCAAAACAATCTGGTTAGTAAGAGGGAGAAAAGGATGGAGAAAGACTGTACCCGAGGCAGAGATTGCACATGGAAATACCAAAGAGATTACACTGTTCTCTCAGAAGTATTGGCACAACTGGAGAAGCAATAAAGTGCTGCAGTTTCCATCTGCGTGGCGGTATCCAGTGGATAAAAGGAATAGCAGGGATTTTATTGGAAGTCATACCTGATCTGTGTTTGTTTGGCCTGAATCAGTTCTGGTGCTGAAGAGAGACAGCCTCTGCCCAGTCTACTGGGGAAAAAAAAAATACACAAACAAACCCTACAGGAGAGTGCAGCCTGGAGGAGCAGCGGGCAGCCCTGCTTCAGGAATGGGGATAGCAAAAGCTCCAGGGAAGCTCCTCTTTGGTCAAGGGGAGTTGGCCAGTGTCCTCCAGAACTACAGCAAGGGAACAGCCTGAAGGCTGGGGAACAGCATTGCCCCACAGGTGTCCTTTTCTGGGGGAAGGCTGTTTTGGTACGAAGTTGTTCTATGCATCTTTTGGTGCTGTTCTGCCAGCTTTTTGATTGAAAGATCAATGATTCAATACAGTTATTGTGTTTCAGAGCCTTCAGCAAAGGCTTTTGTTAGCTGCTTGCACTTCTGTGGAGCAACTCTGTGCTTTTCTGGGGCAAGTGGTTTTTTCAGGAGGAACATCATCAGCTGCCAGAGATATCCTTTGAGTCAGTACTGACCAGTTAGGAAACTAACTGAATGGAAGCCAAAAAATTCTGTGAAGTTGTGTAGCCAGAAACCCCAGCACATCACTTAAAAACAAACCCAAAACAAAACAAAAAAGGAAAGCAAATCAGAAGATGGCTTTTGCAGTCTCCTTTTGCATTTGTGTGTCACAGGGAGAAGGGAAGATTTTGTTCTCCTTCTGATGTTGGTTTTCAGGGGGTGGAAGAAGTTTTGGGAAAGTGCACAGGTCACTTCTCTGCTGTCCTCTCCAACCTTTTTCCATCCTGTCTCCACGCTTCTGTAGGGGGATAATCAAGCCAGGATGGCCGTGAGCTATGTGAGCATTTCTCCAAACACAGCGTCTCCAGCCAACACGCTTCTGTAGTGCAAGTGCTTGGATGATAGCCAAGCCTCTCCGAGATGAGTCCTGACAAGTGGGATGCCAAACATATGCTGCAACTGCCGGTTGCTCACTGCAGTGCCATGGCATGATGCAAAATTCTTGAGCGCACATCACACCAGCTGCACTTTTTCCCCTGAAGGAAGGAAGACTCCTTATGGGCCTGGAGGCAGTCTATATGCTGTTTCTTTAATCTGACTTTTCCTGTCAAAGGGACTGCATCTGGGGCCAGGATGTTTTCCAGGTGAGGCACGAACCCCAGCAGTACTCTGACTTTCTCCCATGAAGTGGAATCCTAAAGGACTTCAGGATCAGAAAAGCATTAGGTTTTGCCATCCAGACACAGGCAGTTTCACGACATGACTTTAGTGCTGTTGCTGCAGGACTCCCAGCAGCTCTGATGCCATTTCAGTGGCACGTCTCAGCCTGAAATACTTCACTGCCACCGCTCCCTGTGCAAGTCTGGGCTGGATTCAGAGACAAGGAAAATAGTTCTTTTTTTCCACATTAAAGACTTTCTCTCTGTTCATAGCAATAAACAATGGAAGAGAGAAGTCCTTCCTATTACTCACATTTTTCAATGTTTGGGGCACTTACATGAGAGTAAATCACAGTTCACAATTGCAAGCAGAGCAGCTGGGCCTGCACCCCTATCCCTCCAGCCACATCTCATTGACCTGCTTGCCCTCACTCATGGCAACCCCTGCTCCTGTTGCTCTGCACCAGCTACAAACGAGATGTATCCTCTTGGCTGGGTGCTGGCCCAATACAGCATGATCAGGCCTTCTCCCAGGAAGTTCTTCTCCCAGCACCACTGAGTTTGTCATGCAATCTCACTGTAGTAAAAGCACTTCTGCTTGATAAGTGCTGTCCCGCTAGGAATATCGACACTGGTTTGACCACACTTCGTCAGAGATCTCTTTGCAATACCCACACTTTTGCAATGCCTATGCCTTAGCCCACGTCTCCTATCACACTACAAAACGACTCAAAGTTCAGCACCGGTTTTGTCTCATTGCTAAACACATGCTAGGCTTTGTGCTTGTGTTTGTCCAGCTGCTTCTACCCTGGGGCAAGGCTCCAGCCAACTTCACAGCATTATTTTGCATCCACTGCCAGTTTTCCTTTGTTCTGGCAGATCAGCTCAGCCATTGCAATTGTCAGTCCTTTCTCCATCGCCTCTGATTTTCCAGCATCCTCTTCCAGCTGACTGGAAGCTGAGAGAAAATTGTCTCCCCCTCTTCTCACACTCTAGGATGCCTCTTTGGAAGCTACTGCCAGATGCTCCCCATCCTCCTCAGTGAGGGTTGCAGGCTTCCAGGCACTGCCACCTGTGAGAGGACAGGTCTATAGCAAAGGAGGTGTCCTGTCCCACTTCCCATACCCTGCCTGTAGCAGCAGCACAGATTCAGGATCTGATCCTATTCTCTCTCAGCCTGCCAGCATTTCAGGGCTGACCAAAGCCAAGAGCCTTAAGTCTGGACAAACCATTTACAGGGAATTAAAGTAAGATGAGAAGGAAGCCCTTCCAGGAGTTGGACTCGATGAGCCTTATGAGTCCCTTCCAGGAGCTGGATTTGATGAGCTTTATGGGTCCCTTCCAGCTCTGGATATTCTATGATTCCCCTAAACCCACAGGAAGCAGCCCCTCGGCATGATGCCCCATTAGGAAGGTGTCTCCTAGCCGTGCAATGATGAGCCCAAGCAGCTCCCCATGCCACCCCTCCCAAGGGCCCCGGTGCACGTCTAACCATGCGTTGAGCTCTGCCAAGGAGATCAGTGCCAAACCTGAATTACCAGCCCCAAGAAGAGCTGTGGATCTCAGAAGCTCCTGCGATTTGCGTCAGGTTTTTCAGGCCTCCGCCTGTCACACACACGCAAGTACTTAAGCAGTCACCCGAGGACCTGTGGGGTGTTTCTTTTACACACTTTTGGTCCCTATCAGCTCTAGGTAAGTGCAAGCTTTGAGCTGGGGATGCTGGGGCAGATCTGCATCTGGGAATGGGATGGGGGGCAATGCAGGGGCTGACCATTATTAGCACTGGAGGGGCTGGAGCAGCACCACAAGGCTGTGATGGGAGAGCTCTGTGCTGGAACAGGGGCAGGCAGAGACCCCAGGCAGGGAGCACCAGGGGACTTTTCTCGGCTGCAGCAGCTGCTGCACTGTTTGTGCTGTTCCCATCCGATATTATCTTCTGAAAGACTGAACGGACGGTTTACAGGATGCATGACAGGTGGCTTTTCCTTATTTATGGTGGGGTCTGGTTTATTTTTAAAGCCTCAGCCCCACCTTATCCTGTGCACTGTGCTGGCTGATGTTATCCACAGCCATGCTCCGGCTCAGCATGAGGCAGAGCAAAGCTCAGGATGGGACACAGAGCAGGAGGTCCTGTTTGCATGGAGAACAGCTCACTGTTTTGATCTCTGCAGTGTTAGTAAATAGCTGCAAGCCAAAAACAGGTGCCTGCATTCCTATTTCAATCAGAACATGGGGAAGGGGCCTGATAAGCCCAGCAGTGGACATGAGATCTCACCAGTTTGGCAGGAGTTACTGCTCTGAGCGTTTTCCAGGGGCTTCGGGTGCAGTAAACAGTCAGAAAGCTGCACATCCAGCCAGCTATTGTGTCTGTCTTTCAAAAAAGCAAAGCTGAGCAAAGAGAAATCATCTCATTTCCAGAAAAGAGGCTGCTTTTTTTTTTTTTTTTTTTTTTTTTCCTTTTTTTTTTGCCAGGGTAGTATATACTGACAGCATGACCAGAGCTTGACTGGCATCCTGGAGGTTGAGGGGATGCCCCTTCCTGCTTAGGCTGAAACTGGGAGCCCAGCCCTGAGTGTCTCTGGAGGGAAGGTCTACATCCATCCTCCTGCCCCAAATTCACCCCTCGTTCAGGTCACACAGGGTCTTGCCAAGCTGATTCTCAGACATCCCCAAGCATGGAGGTGCCCTCACCTCTTTGGCCATGTCCCATTTATGATTCCCCCATCACTCTCAAGATTTTGTTCTCACTATCTAATAAGCTTTTCTTCTGCTGCAATGTGTGTCTGCTGGCCATTGCTAGCTGTCTGCTCGCTCCAAGCTGGGCGCCATCAGCCATACTAAGAGCAGCAGCTACTGCCTGCACAGCCTCTGTGTGCACAGCAATGCTGGTTGGAGCATCTGCAGCCCCCTTCACGCTGCAGCTGGTGGCTATTCTCACATTGCTCCACCTAAAACCAAGACTAAAATGTGACTTCCTCTCTTCAGCTACAGGCACATGTAGCAGACCAGGTGTTTTTGGTGCTGTGGTTTTACTTTGATATCCGGCACACCATTTCGGTTGGGGTGTGCCACCCTCTGTCACAGAGCTGGACAAGTGCCATGGTCCTACAGTATTTCTGAAAGATGCAGAGGTCGCTTGCATCCTTTACAGTAGAAAATATATTTTTTCCAGTGCAGGAAAAAAAAGCTAGCAGTGGTGCCTTTCAGCAGTAGAGCAGAACTGTTGTGGTTCTCCATCTTTCTGCCAGGTTTAAAGAAATGTAAGCATTAAAACCATCCTTCCTAGGCAGGTGAGTGGACCTGTGCAGCCTGAAGGCCTGAGGTTGCCAGCAGGTAGAAGACACTGTGCCCTATGGGAATACACCTCGGAAACGTGGGGATTATCACAACCATAAAGATCAAACAGGAAAGTTAAGAGGCACACGTTTGTTATGCAAAGCGGTGCGTAGACATTAATGCTCATTAGTGCAGCAGGCTGCAAATGCAGATTTATAAATTACTAGGACCCGTTGCTGCTGGTGGCTTAGGCTAGACGCATGATCCAGAGGTGATGGGCTGTGAGGAGCCGTTTGGCAGGTAGTGTGGAGTTGATGTGACCATGGAGGAGCAGATGAACTTGTGGCATCCACTACACTTGGGCCTGATGGTGAGCCTGCTCTCCATACTGCTGGAGAGCAGAGCCTCAGGTCCCAAGGAACTTCTTTCCCATGCATTTCTTGCAGAGAGCCTTCAAAGAACCTCCAGCCACATAAGCAGCACCCACCAGGCTCCCAGCAGCTCGCAGGACAGAGCTTTACCTGCTTTTTCCCTGTTCCTCTGAAAAAAGCTTGTGCCATTACAGTCTGCTTGCTGTTGCTACCAGGCCTGCAGCCAGTGCTTTGCAGGCAGGGACAGCTCAGCTTGCTGCACCTGTGGCTCAGGGCCACCTCTTCCTGGTCCATCCATGACAGTGAATTGTGCCATCCCCAGCACACTGCATCATGCTTAGCGCTATAAAGATGGCAAAGGGTCTGGAGTGGAAGATGTATGAGGAGAGGCTAAGGTCCCTGGGTTTGTTCAGCCCAGAGCAGAGGAGGCTGAGGGGAGACCTCATGGCAGCTACAGCTCCTCACAGGGAGCAGGGAACAGCATGGAGCTGCATCGGGAGGGATGGTCTATTTGAGTCTAAGGAACAGACTCCCCAGGGTAATGGTCACAGCACTGAGCTGTGGAGTCCTAAAAACATCTAGACAACACTCTCAAACATAGGGTTTGGATTTTGGGTGGTCCTGTGTAGAGCCAGGAGCTGGACTCAATGATCCCTGTGTGTCATCCAACTCGGGATGTTCTATGACTCCACAAAAGTTGCTCGAGCCTTAAGCAACAACTGTGTAACAATCGGTATTTACCAAGTGACTAAAGTAGAGCAGGCTTTCTCACAACAAGCTCAATTTATAAGACCTTATACAAATGCCAAAGAATCTTTTTATTTGTCAAAACGATCTTCAGCAAAGGAGGCTCAGTGGGGCATTTGCATCTTATGATAAAGCTTGGGGACAAGGCTCTTCTCCCCAGCTTCTTGTGTGAACAGGACAGCTGGCTCCCTGCAACCTGCAAGGCGATTTTGGAGCCAAGCCCTATTCCAGCAGTGCTGCCATTCAGGTGAGAGCTCTCAGGCACCCGATATGCTCCAGGGTACACTGTGGGTTATAGTTATCCTTCAACTGGGAAAACAGTTGGCTTTAAAGCTGCGCAATTGGTGATATTGGCATTGAGGTTACATCTCCAGAGCCAAAAGGAAGGAGAATCTGTGGAGGCAGGGAAGGTGGGCAGTGGGTGGCCCAGCAGAGACATGGAGAAAGCAGGAGAGCAGAGCGAGAATGGCCACATTTCTGAACTCAGCTCCTCCCCTGCCACCGCCCCACAGCTCAGTTTCAGAAACACAGAGGCAATTCACAATCAAAAGACTTGTGTGTCCTCAGGTTTCAGTTGGCTTGCCTTTCTGCCAGGCGGGAGCACACGTAGAACCCTGCAGAAGAGAGATGTGGGGCTTGTCCAAAATGTTTTGTTCCCAACGTCTCCTTCATCTTTTGGCTTGTGATTCCCCTGCACAAACTTGCATGGTGGCTGGGAAGAAGTGAAAACATGGCTGGATGCCAGACGCTATCCCCTGTCCCATGGAATATGTATATATATATTTAAATTAATGACTTTAAACGAACCCTCCCCCACTGCACTCATTGCTGTGACATCACTCCCAAGTGACGCCCAAGTCTAAATACGGCTGTAAACAGGAATCGTCCCCACGGGAGTCACGCTGGCTATAAATCCAGCAGCAGAGAGGCTTGCTGAGCAGAAGAGAGGCTACAGCTTCCTGCCGGCTGGGGATGGTGAGGAAGCACTGCTGGGTGCTGTTGGGCATGCAGCTGCCGCCACAGGGAAACTGAGGCAGGCACTGCAGGGAGGGGCAGGGCTGGGAAAGGAGCTGTGCCCTGCCTCGGCCAGAGGCCACTGGGGAAGAGGGAGCTGCTGGCGACAGGGATGCCTAAGCTGGGGCTCAGCGAGCATAATCTCTCCAGTCTCAGCCTTGGCAATAACCCCAGCCCCTTTCTGTAGTGCCTGACCCCACCATCCAGGAGAAATGGCCACAGAGAAGTCAGTGACTCCTACTGAGGAGCAGCTAGAGATCCTGGAGTACAATTTTTGCAAGGTGAACAAGCATCCTGATCCCACCACGCTGTGCCTCATTGCAGCAGAGACCGGGCTTTCTGAAGAGCAGACCCTGGTGAGTGTGCACCCCTCAGCCTCCCCTTGGCACTGGCCTTGCTCTCTCCACACATGCCTCTGCACCCTACACAGCTCCTGCCTACCCTGTCCTCTGTTCTTCATCATACACCCTGTATCTTCTGTCCCCACAAACTCCCTGCTGTACCTCTCATGCTACCCCATCACCACCTGTACCCCTTTGTGACCCACATATTCCCTTCTTACGTTCATATACTGCACGCTACTGCACCCACAAGCCTTCTTTGCTTTTCTTACCCCACACTGCACCCATGGAGCCCTGCTGAACCCCACCTCCTCCCTGCACCCCACCAGTTCCTGCCCCTGCATCCCCAAAGCCCCTTCCCCTGTAACCGCAGCCACCTGGGCTTCCCAAATCACAGCTGGATGCCCTGTTGGTTTCCTTGTGGCTCCAATGCCCCAACCCCAGGCTGGGCTGGGCGGTTGGCACTTTCATCACCTGCTGTGTGTCACTAGCTGGCAGCAGGGCCATGCATGCTGTCCATTCCTTCCAACCTAATAGTCCTCATAGTTCCTTCTGAGAGTCCCAGGTACCCAAATGACCGTTGGTTTTGTGGTAAGAAGAATTGTGGTCATTTTAAAACAGATGCAGGATAGATACAGTTCTTGCAGGATGTGCTGTGGGAAATACCCAAGCTGTGCCAGCTCTTCATCACTGCAGTTAGATAGTCCACCATCCCTGAATATTATGTTAGGAAAAATTGTCAGCCTCTCTGAGGGACATGAAGGTCTCTAAAGAGGCTGCCTCTGCTTGGGACTTGCTGAGTGCCTTGTGCTCCATCTGGCTGCCTGCTGGGTCTCAAAGGCAACCAGCTCCTTCCCAACACCAGGCTGCAGAGCAGCTCCTGTTTTGATGCAGATGCGTTATGAACTCCTAGATAGCAGGTTTCCTGGGCATAGAAATCAAACGCATACACAGAAAAAGTGCAGCATTTTGCAGAGTTGCCAAGCCTGGTTCTCCCTGGGCAAAGCCAAGGGGCAGGAGAGGCAAGCAAGCAATGCCAGTATTTAGCCTGTTCCAGTAAAGGATACTGGGTGTAACACCCAGAGCGCTCCCAGAGTTCTGAAGATGAAGATCACGTTAGGAATAGGATCAGGATTGAGCTGCGATGTGCCTGCATTGCGTATGGCACAGACTCACCACTCCTGACACTTGGAGTGCTTTACTGGCCAGATATAGCAAGCATTTTAATGCCAGTAAAATCAAGATGCAGATGTACTGAGTCAACAGGACATGATGGTTTGAGACAGGAAGTGAAATTTTTTAGGAGGCAGGCAGGCAGGCAATCAGCTCGTTGGATGCAGCTTAAGGCAGAGCTAGCGCAACGGCCACTTGCGCTGAATGCCATGTTTGTATCATTAGTGACTGGAATGGCTTCAAAAATAGCTGTGAACAAATATAGCAACAGAATGAGCAGCAACAAAGCATGTCACAGGCAAATGCCTAAAGACAAGCCTGAGCTGTGCTTCCAGCACGAGTTATTCTTCTTACGGAGGTGTTGTGGCTTTATCCAACTGCTTTTGTCCAGCATTTCAAATTGCAGCTGAGCTGAAGTGGCACCAGCAGGTCTGGGAGCTGGGTTAGAGATGCCAGGTCATAAAAAATAATGTAGCAATTAATATTATTTGAAGACTAAGATAAATTTTAACCCACCTTAAGAATCTGTTTGTCCTTAAATCTGCAGTGTCACCTGTGTTTTTCCTCTCAGTCTTCGTGAAGCAAGTTAACTTTTGGTTCCTGTCATTTTGGGACCTGCGGTGAATGTTTCACTGCTACAGCTGCAGACACTACCCAGGAGGTTTAGCCTACTTACTCTGTTTGTAAGGCAAATCTGGACTCACAGCAATAAAATGAGGACTCACACAGGTTGTCAAGGTCTGAAAAGGCCTGAAAGAGATGTACTCACATTTGACAAAACCTTCTGGTTATGAACACCTCGCTAAAAGCAGCACCCTGAGTTTCCTTCACCTCATTCCACATGCTGGCCCCATCTGCACCTTTTGCAAGGCTTTCTGAATGTTTGCTCAGCCCACTGCACTCAGTCTCTGTTGTTGTTTTTTTTTTCCTTCCAGAAATGGTTCAAGCAGCGCCTGGCAGAATGGAGGAAGTCTGAAGGGCTGCCCTCAGAATGTGGGTCTGTCAGGGACTAGAGGATGCTGCTCCTGGCCCCATCCATGCTGTAAACAATGGTGAAGATCTTCAAAGTGGGTTTACTTGGGGTTCTCCTGTCACAAAAGGTTTCAAGATACAAAGCAATACCCTGATATTTAACATAATTTTTATTTATAGAAGATTATATATATATAATATGTATGTATATGTGTATACAGCTTCTGATGGCTGCGTAACTCGTCTAGCAGTTCCCATTAATAGCAGCTGCACAGGCCAGGAAATCTCATGCCCTTGTCCTGGACTCATGGAAAAGCTGCCATGAAACGTTCAAGCACAGGGGGGAAGAATAGAGATTTCTTTTCCCTATTATCCCAAGAGGCAAAGCATGCATGCTAGCTTTAGTATATAGAGCATCCAGAGAGGAGGGCAATTGGAAAACTTGATGTCTTGTTCTTGTGGTGTCTTGGTTAATTTAAGGTGCCCATGCCAGCTCTGGATGTTGACAAGATAAAAGCCTACATCATTAACAGACTGAGCCAAGATCCCTTGAATGTATGTCTCACATTTCTGTTAAAGATAACCGAAGGGAGAGAACTGGTCTTTTCTTTGTCCAAAGTGTGAATAAAAACCAAAGATTTTTGGTGAGAGATGCTATGTTGTGTCCCTTCCCATGCTCCCTGCCCCAGGAACAGAAGGCACACTCCTCTGGGTGGATAACACTTCTCCAAAACGGGGTCAGCAGGCGCTGGGTTTTTCCCCTCTTGCCACAGAGTTGGGCAACCTCTGGTCTAGGGCACCCTCCATCCATCCACAGCACACAGCCCAGGCGTGGGGTAGCAAGATGCTGTTTGGGGGGATTCCCTGCAGGGTCAGAGGCCAGCTGCCAGCCCCTTTATGGCTGTTCACAAGCCAGAGTGACAGTGCTGGGGCTCTTCACAGAGGCCAGTTTCTGGTCCATTCTGGTACAGGACAGACTGAAAAGTAACAAGCATTATTACCTAGTGACCTTACCTTGTACAATAGGGATCAAAATCCTCTCTTTAGTAGATCAGTGAGTCAATTAGTGGATCCCCTGATAAATCCTCTTCCAGTTTGTAGTCACCTGCCTCTACTACTCCTGAAGGAATCAGCTTAATGCAGAGAAGATTAAGATACATTGACTGGCACTTAAACTGGCATGTGCTTAGAATCCTCATTTTTGCTTATTCATTTATTCTCCTGCAGTGGTATGTTCATTTTATTCCTTGCTGGAGAGCATCACTATCACATCAGTATCTCCAGCCAATGCTTGGATTGCCAATGCCAAGCACACTAAACTCACTAGAAACACATAAAATCATTTTCTCCTGTGCCATGTCCTGCTTAGGCTGTGCTGCTCCCATCCAGCAGCCAAACCAACCCACACTTCGACCCAACTGAAGCTCTAGGTTTGCCCTGTAAAGTGTGGCACTAATACCCATACCCAAGAATGCCACTATCCTTGGGCATGGCAGAGATGTTGTAGCATCCCATGAGAGGGTCTAGATTGTCTTAGTTTTCCCATAGAAGCCTGGTAAGAACAGTAAGGGTGTGAAATGCACCTTTAAAAACATACAAATGTATTATGTCTCTGTTGGGACCATTCTTCCCTGTCTAAAAAGGGGCACACTCAGCCCATCTCCCCCACAGCTGTAAAGGGCTGCTAGCTTTATGCTGAGCACTTACCTTATTAGGCACTGAATTTCCTAATACTGTGCAGGTGGTTGCTGTCAACTTGAAAAGGACCTTCAAGTAATGAGTCTGGTTTTACAGTTCCCAAGGGATGTGTAGAAAGGGTCATTTCATTACACCTCTGAAACCCCTGCAGGGGTTTCATGATTGCATTTTTCTTGCTTACCATTACCACCTAACTATACCACAGGTATGACAGTAGAAATAATAATAATGTTACGGTCAGGGTGTGCCATGGAAAGTGGGTGAGGTTTTACAGCACCTTAGTGGTAACTCTCACGTGCCCAGGGCAAATTTAGAGTTGCTCATCCTGGACTATAGAAAGAGAGAGACTGTGTGAACTCTCCCTTGGTGGGAGAGGGTACCAGGGCAGTCATAACAGCACAGCAGGACAGTGTGTTTGTGGAGACTTTTTGGAGCATGGTGACACCCATTCACTCTGGTATGTTTAAGGGTTCTTTCTCTTTCCAAGTAGCTTTTCATCGGTTTAATCCAGTGAACTCAACAGCCCACAGATTTTTGTGCTCTCTCTGATTGCAGAGACATGAATTTGCAAACCTGCTCTTTCTGCAAGGTTCTTTTTGGACATGACAGGGAGGGGGGAGAAAGCATGTTTCTGTTTCATAACTTGCCAGGCAACCCTTGCAGGTAGGTTGGATGATTAGCCAGCCTAGGCTGCCCAGACAAACAGAAACACCTGTTATCAACGCTTTCATAGATTACTGAAAGGTACCATGGGGATAGCACTGTTCCCACAAGGCTTTAGGAGCAAAGGTGAAGATATATTTCTTAAAGGGCTTAAAAACTTTGCAATTTTATTTCAGTCCATTGAGCACAAATGTCTTAGAAGCTATAGAAACACAGGGATATAGACTTTTTGTACCCCAGGACCAAGTATTATGCAGCACTGAAAATCTTCATACTGAATATTCACCAGAAAAAAACCATTCATCTGGCACAGTTATCATAGACTGTTCCTGGTTAAGTGTCCCAGGCCTGGAGCAATTGCATGATGTGGACAGCTGTGGGAGTCCCCACCATGCAAAAAAACACAGCAGGCGGGGCACTGCTTTGCTGCTTAATATCACCTGGCTGAAAACTTTCAGGGCACACAGCCCCAGCAAATGCTTGTTAGACAACAGCTCAGCACCACAAAGCTTGTGTTGGCAAGCTGCTGCTAGGGCATCTCACTGCAGACCCCCTGAAAGGTGCTTGCTGACTTATCTCCCTGTCACACCTACCTGCTGCAGGCAACACTGCAAGCATGGCTGCCTGGCATCTTGGTGGGAACTGCTTGCAGGACGCTGGCCCCCTGCCTCCAGGTCAAGACAAGACATGCTCAGGAAAGCAGTACACTTTTCAGAAGCCAAACAACAGTTTCAGCAGTTTCTGCCAATTGGCTCTTCAAGAGCTTTTCCTTGCAAAGGTGCATGGGGGTAAAGGATAACTGCACAAAGTCCACCTCCAGACTTGCTGCATTACAGAGCTGGCATTCTTTCTGCAGCAGGCTCATCAGTTTACACACACAGCGAGCACAACCACATCCAAACCTTGCATCAAGTGCCACCCTGCAGCCCTGCTTGGACACAGCTTTGCAAAGGCTGTCTCAAGATCCATCTGAGGGAGGAATCACACATATCTCAGTCAGGTCTCTCAACTCATATGGTGATCATAAAGCTTTCTCCAGTTCTAGGAAGATAAGTGACTTTTTTTTTCTTTTTCTTTTTTTTTTCCTTATGGTGGCAAGCACTATGAACACGCAAACATCCCCACACACGATGGTACTTTCAGTGGTTCTGCAACCTGAAGGAATTAAGCAATACCACTGACAAGAGGAGAGTCCCAGGAAAATATTTGTTATTTGCTTATGCTTTCCAGGAGGGAAAATGAGGCTTGCTGCAGGCAGATATAGAAGTACCCCCCTTCTGCTGCCCAAACTGCTTTTGAGTTCAATCTTGTAAAGCTGTAGAGAGCAACAAAGTTGGCAGGGGCAACCCAGGCATACTCAGGTGCATATAATGCATCTTCCCCTTCCCAGATCCACCCCTTCCCAGACCTCATTTAAGGGTTGGCATTGCAGGCAATGGTTTCTTGCTGGAGTTCTCTACCTGCATCTTTCTGAAGGTAAGCAGATTCTTTTCTTTGCTTCTATGCCTATTGCATTTGAGGGAATCTTTACTTGCTAAGCTTAAGACTTTGCTATTCTACTGTCATTATTATACTTTCTGTTGCTTTACAGCACCCCACAGTACAGTTTGCCTTCTTGGCTATTAGTAGATTGCACTGGCTCACAATAAGCCCACGGTCAACAACACCCCCAGAGACCTTCCTGCTAAGCTGCTACCCAGCCACTCATTTCTGATCTGTACCTGTGTCCGGCGTTGTTCTGGCCCAGGTGCAGCATGTTTAGTATTTTCCTTTGCTGAACTTCATGCTAGCTAATTGTCTAGTGCTCCAGTGTATCGGGTTCCTCTGCAAAGGTCTCTCTTTCCTTCAGGAACTTAACAGCATTTTCCAGTTTAGTATCATCAGCAAATTTGTTGAGGGTGTATTCTACTAATCCTGCAACCAGATCACTGATAAAAGTGGTGAACACAAGTGGCTCTAGAATGGAACACTGGGGGAATACTGCTAACAATCAGCTCACAAGCAGTTGTAGACCCATCCACTTTGAGCTCAGCTATTCGTTCAGCTCATCACCTGGCATATCCTGTGTTAATCAGACAGATGAACAATTTGTTCTGGGAGATGCTGTGAGTGACAGTATTATAGGTCTTATTAACAATCCAGAAAGATTACATGTACTGCCTATCCACCAAGTGGGTAGTCATATGATAGAAGATCAGATCGCTAAGGCAGGACTTTTCTTTGATGAATCTATGTTGACTATGCTTGATAATACCTTTATTCTTTAACAGCCTCCTAACAGCATCTAGGACAATCCTCTCCATAACTTTTCCAGGTGTTTAGGCTAGACCAACAGGTCTATAGTCCCCTGGGTTTTCTTCTGTGCCTTTCTTGTCGATCAGTATAATGCAGCTTGGTAAATTGCTGAGAGGAGTCCAGCTATAACATCTGCTACTTCTTGCAGTACTTAGGGGTCAGAACCCATGTACTTCTGAACATTCAGCAATACAGCTTGTCCCTTACAATTTCAGTACACAGCTTCCCTTTTGAAAGGAAAGGCAGGCACTGTTTGTAATGAGGAGCAGGGAGAAAGGTGTTTTGCTTGTCCAGTGTAAATCCAAGTAAACCATACCCAAGAGGCCTAGGGCATAGCCTGGACACCCGGTCTACAACCATCTGCAACCTGGGCTGCCTGCCTTTCAGTGTGAGGTAACAAGACTGCAAAGTCTGTGTATCTCCTTAGGATACAACCACTTGACAGCTCTTTGTATTGTTTTCCCTGGGTTGGTATCCTTGGTCCCTTCCCAGTGCAGCTGCATAGCAATGCGCTTGCACATGCTATGGCAACTGCTGCTGACTGCAGGGTGCCAGCTGGATGGAGCACAGCTAACCTCCCCCCACAGGCACTGTTCTGGATGACCTACACCACTAACCCACAGCTTCCACTGGCCAACCTAAGTACCCACTCCCTTTAAACACCATTTCACTGTCCCAGAAGGGCCAGCTGTGTCATTCCTTGTTGAGGTAAATGAAGCCGAGACCAGTGGTTAGAGTAAAATGTTCTGCTTTATGCATCAGAAAAAACTACAAAACCGTTGTATAATAAATTTAATTACAAAAAGTGTTTTTTTGCCACGCTCTTTAGACTCAGGCGTATGACCAGAGCATAGTTACAGGGATATCAATACTGGGAAAGTAATGCACCTCTGTAATTCATCTTTCTCATCTGCTATGCTAACAGAAATCACTTTAAAAAAAAAAATGTTAAATTTCTCACCCATAAGACTGCTTGCTGTAGCACAATCTGGAC